TGCTCCATAACATCAGGAAGATATGTTAATTAGAAGATTTATTAAGGCCAAAACATCTCATGCAGAAGAAATTAATTGGTGCTTTCACCTTTAAGCTTGCAATATATTGCACAGAAGAGATTGTGTAGCAAGGACTAAGCTGCACCGTGCCTTTTGATTGGGAAAAGTTGGCTTGATCAGGTTTTTTGATAAAGCTGAAATCTAAGCTACTTGCCAAAAGCTAACTTGCTGAGGAAGGCTGCTGCATGGCTGGCACTAACCCCTGTGCACCTCCGGGCCAGAGCCCGTGCGGGGCAGTGAACACTGACCCAGCCTGCAGGGCGGTGGGGACAGGGCTGGGTCAGGGGGACATCTCAGCTTGCTGCTTCAGCTGCTGCTCTGCGGGGTCCTCGGGGGTCCTCTTCTCTGATCTGGGTTTGGGGTGTAACTGCAGAACCTCCTAACATCCCTGACCTCCCAGCCGGGTTCTCACGGCTCTGAGCAGTAACTCTTCTGTCTGGCTTTTTTCTGTAGACTTACAGGCCTGATAACCAAAATCCCCCAAACCCTGCTTGTTTCCTTCTCCTCGGGCTGCAGCCACGTGCCTCACAAGGTAACTCCCTGCCCACCTCCCTGGTACTCAGGTAACCCCCCTGGGCCAGGCCAGGCTCCAGCACCTTCTGCTGGGATGTGGTGGGGGAGAATGGAACCATCTGAAAGGACAACTGAATGTTGAATGTTAATGAGGGGAAATGGTTTAAAGCTGGAGACTCGGTGCTCCTGGTTGTGAGTTCTGTCTTTGTAACAGACTGACTTCCCTTGGCACGAGTACTTGTTTAAAGGAAAAAGAGGAAAGAAAGCAGGTGATGTCTGTGTCCAGCTGAACTTCACACAGGAACAGGGAGAGGCCCCAGTTGATCTTCGTTTAAAACAGCCTTGTAAATGCATCTCAGGAATGACCTGCTTGTACCAAAGTTGGGTTTAATAAAAACAAAACTGACTTGTTTAACAAACATCTGTTAAAACCACCTTTGTATGCTGGTTATATTCACACAGTGTATCCCAAGCCATGCTGCTCCCTGTTATCCCAGTTTCCCCCTGCTAGCCCCATTCCCCTCTATATCTGTTTGATGTGGGGTGTCCCCTGTGCACCCTAGCAGCCTCCCTCCCTATGGGCTGCTGCTTCCCATGGGAACCAGCAGAAAACCAGCCCTTGGGATGAGTTTTGAAGGAAGCTTGTGTCCTGTCCCCCCACCTTGTGCTGGGTGGTGTGACAGGAGTGGGACAAGATCTGGCTGTGGGAAGTGGGGTGTGGGACAGGAGCCCACGGAGGCTCCTGCTGAGCAGACTGGTCTCCATCACCACCCCAGAGTCCTTCAGGTGGAGGGAGGATGGTGGAGAGGCACTGACTGCCCCAGGCAGCTCCTGTCCTGGGGTGCTGTTGTACAGGACATTCGCTGAAACCTGCAGCTGCCCTTGACATAACCTGGAAGCAAATCTGGGTGAGTAACAGGGATGTGGTCGTTCCTAACCAAGGTAGGAGCACACAGGTAAGCAGCACCCTTAGCCTGCCCAGGCCTAGTCATGAGTGTTTGCTCCTTTATCGTGACTCCAGCCCTGGGATAGGTGGGCAGAGAGGACTCGTGCTGCCAGAGGAGCAGCAGGATATCCTGGGGGAGCAGGCATGCTCCGGAGTTCCTGTTCCCATCCTAGTATGGCATCTTGCACCCCGACTGGGAACACAGGACCCTGATGGGCCTTTCAGCACTGACTGCAGAATTAACCCCCTGGTAATGTACACTTTGGGAGGCTGATCATGCAGCTCTGCAGAGGTTTTGAAAAGCAGGTTTGTTCATGGTTTTCAATGTGTCTTCCAGCTTATGGGCAAGGAACGATGTGCACAGGCTGAGCTGGGGGAGAAAACATGAGCTGTGGTGGTTGTGGTCTAATATTACAGCATGTTCATTGCTGTGTGTAGGATTGTTCTGCTGGTGTTCCTCTGAGTAGCACAGCTGGTGAAGATGCTTGAGATAGGGCAAAGGGAAGGGTGGAAAGCAGAACCAGCCACGTGCCCCAGCTTCCTGCAGGGACCTGTGTAGGGTTTGGGTTGGGCTCTTCAGGGAGCACACCAAGAACCCGCAGACCAAGCTTCTTCTATTGAATGAAACCTACAAAAGACAACCTGCCTCCTTCTAAAAGTCAGGCAGTCAGGATACAGCTTGTGCTGGAAAAGGAAGGTGCTGCACTGGTGGGAAGAACAGCCCTCCCATGAACCCACAGCCTTCCCTGTGGTACGTGGGCAGAGTGACCAAACACTTCCCAGCACAGCACAGCTGCCCAGCCCTGGCTGTGCAGGCACCTCGTCAGCCTCCTCTGATCTGAAATCAGGCAGCAAGTCCTGCTCCTGTGGCATCCCCTGGCCAGGGCAGAGCTTCCCCTGCAGCACAGTGTCCACAGGCTGTGGCAGCTGGGAGCTGCCTCCCGGGACCCCCCCGAGCTCTCACCGCGGCTTCACGTCACGTCTGCTCACAGGGGCCATTTGCACCAAGTCTGATCCTGCCTGTGTCTCTGGAGCACTTGGGCACTGCTTTCTCCCTGCTGGGAAAAGAACAGCAAGGCTTTCTCCCTGCACTTGGACAAAGCCCACTCTGTTCTCGGTGCCAGTTCTGGCAAATGTCAAACTGGAGAAACCAGTGACCAGAGCTGCTCAGGACGTCAGTCCTGCACAGCTTGGCATTCAGGAACTCCTCTTCTACAAGGTAAGATGATGAGCAAGGGAAAGAAGGCCAGAAGCTTTCCTCCTGTGCTGGTGAGTGCTGCTGCTAAGCAGCATGAGGGTCTCCTTGCTCCTCTCTCATTCCTGTCCCCTCTTTATTTTCCCTGTGTCATGACATGAGACACCTGCTCAGCATTTAGCTTGTGCTGGTCCATACAAAACCTTTCCTGTTCTGTGGCAGGACTTGCAGGTGTGGTGGTGGTGTCCATCCAGTGCTGTCTGGATTACACCTTCACTCTAGGATAACAATCACCTGAAAATGCTGGCCCTATTCTCTAAAACAAAACCGTAGAAATTAAGAAAACACACATTCTTTAAAGTTCTTTTCAAGTAAGACTGGTTTTTGAAGGTGAAATAGGGGTTCAAACTGCTGTTTGTAGTTTGCAAAACTGCTTTGCTGGGGAGGTGAGCAGCTAATTCAAACTAATGTGGTAGTGGTAGGGAATTAATGAAAGTCATTTTGTATTGTCCAGGCTGGTAAGACAGAACAAATGTAAAACTCCCCAGATAGCACGTGCTGGTTGGTGAAAGCCCAAGGCAATGGTGATTGTGGCCAAGAAGTGATTTCCCAGAGCTTGTAGGAACTAGGTCTTTAATGCCTTAACCAGGAAGGGGACAAACAGCACAGCCCTGGGTTCCAGGATAAGGTTCTTCATCTTCTCACTACTAAATCAAAACCTTGGCACCTGAGAACGGCTGGTAGGGAGCCAGCAGTGGGAGCTGCCCCTTCCTCAACAGCAGCTCCTGTTCCCTCTCCCATGGGGCAAGTCAGATTAGCTCTAATAAGGGAACAATGGAGGGAGCTGGATGAAAGGCTCAGCCTGGCACTGCATCACAGCTGGGTTAAAAATAACCTCGGAGGCATCTGGTTTTCTCTGCCAGCGTGGTCCCTGAGTTGTAGGATTGTCACCAAGTCCCTCCTCTCCTGTATTTACAAGATGCTAAAAGCTGAGGGCCAGCACACCCTGCTTGGGAAGGACATGGAAAAAAAAGGAAAGATGTTGTCACTATACTCTGAAAAACACAGCAGCACTTCTGCTCTGTTGTGTCAGCTGCTCTGTTCACTGGCACCTACTGGTTCTGCAGTTCCTGCTCCAAGGCAGTAATTCTCTAGGAATTCTGACCAGTCCCTTCCAGGTGGCTGTAAGGGAGGACACGAGGAGCTGCCTTCTTCAGCCCTCAGCTGAGGGCATGAGCCACCCACCTTCACCCTCCCACCACTCACTCCCTCATCCTCACTGTGCAGGTGTCTGAATCCATCCCAGTACTCCTGTCTCTGGTGTCATTGGGAATTGGGGCTGTAGTGGGTGTGAAAGGTGCTGAACTGGGGATGGTTATAGCAACCCTCAACCTCACATGATGGGAATTCTTTAGTCCAGAAGGGCTGAGGTGGGGTTGCCTTGCCTGGGAAGGGCCCTGGATGGCTTGACTGGTGGCACAGAAAATACAAAGAGCATTGAGGGGCTGCAAGCACGTTAGTTCTTGGTCCACAAGCTCTTTTCAGTGGATGAATTCAGAGCTGCTGACCCCTAAGGAAAGATGCAGATTTTTGTGTAAGTTCATGGTAAATTATTTTCTCTTCTGGCCACTGCTCCTGTAACTCTGTAATTAGGGGGAGGGCAGGGCCAGGCTGGATGGGATGTCTCAGCAGATGCTATCAGCAATATGCATTTTGGCCCTGCTGCAACACACCTCACCAGGAGCTCCTGAGCTGTGACACAACAGGTGGGCAAACAGGAGGTGATAACTGCCAGGAGGGACAGCAGGAGGCCAGGTTATTTCAGGGACATTCAAGACCACCCAATGGGTCGATGGCAAACTGACAGCCTGGGTCTTTAGCCTTCTAGGGGTACTCTCTTGAGAGGCATGTGTCCCATGAGACTGGAGAAAAGCTTTAAAACCAAAACAAAATGCACTTGCTTTTGGTGTCTCTCATTAGAAGCCAGAGTGGTTACATTTCAAAAGCAATGTAACTGTACTTAGAAGTTTTTGCAGTGTCCAGTGGGAGGCTGGGGACCCAGCTGAGGCCAAGTAATCTGGAAACCTCCTTTCCCTGCATTTTTCTTCCCTCTTTTGTTAGTACCAGCAAGGTCTGCAGCAAAGAACATGGACACAGTCTTCTTGGAAGGCTTCTCAACTGCAATGTTGGTTGTTCCACACACATGTGCTTTATTAACTTCTTGGTGTCCTGGTCTCAAGATCTGTGACCAAAGGCCATTTTGCTTCCTACCTGTGCTTTTTTTAGCAGATCAGTAATAGCAGGAAACCACTCAGGAGTCAGCCTCTCCAGCTCTAAGGTGATGATCACCAAGGCCAGCGTGGAGCCCCTGAGCTGCAGCAGTTGGTGGCAGGCCATCCAGTGCTGCAGCTGTTTGGTCAAGAATGCGACGTGGAGGGAAGGATTCCTCTGAGGGAGGCCATGTAGTAGATGGGGCCAGTTGGACATCACCATGGCATGGAACTGGAGAGAAGAGGAAGTGTATATATATATATGTATATAAACATATATATATATATAAAAGCAGAGGTCAGTGAACTTTGTTTTCATGTATTATCAACCAGGACAGACTAATTTCCTCTCATGTCAGGAAACCTAAAAGGGTTTTCCCCCTCCCTGCTTTTTCTTTTTTTTCTCTTGTGTGTGTTTTGTGTTTGTACTTGCCAACCATTGAACTGGGTTGTTATTATTTTTGAGCTTATAATGAATGTAAAAGGTCTGTGTTTCCTAACAACTTCTGAAGTTTCTGCTTTACCCAGATTGTGATCCAGGAGATCCAGTTCAGGCCAGCAGATACACATAGAGTAAGACCAGTCCTAATGACTGCACTCAGAGTTCTCTGGGGAAACAAGCACCTAGGAAAGGCCATTTTCACAATCAGAAGCCTAAAATGGCTTAATATTTGCACATAACCTTAAAAAAGGGATCCAAGATGTGTTTGTATCACATGATCTTTGCCTTACTAGCACACAATCCTTTCTCGAAGACAAAGTTTTATTGTTTCTATCAAATGTTGAATAACTGCAGTGTGAGCTCAGTGCCAGGTTGGGGAAGGCTCATTGTCTAAAACAAAGGGGGATCATTAGTGGAATGAGAAGGAAAATGGTTTAAGGGAAAAAAAAACCCAACACCTGTGTGTGAAATGTAGCAAAACTGACAGCTTTCTATGTACAGTATGAATAGAGTGGAAATAGGTAGAAATATTTTTGCAGTGTGTATTTAAAAACAAACAAAAAAGGCATATAGTTGTGCATTATAAGAGTCTTTTTAATGTCCATTTTAGTTACCCTTTGAAGATGGAAATACCTTTTTTTTAACAAAATGAAAGATTTTAAATAGCAGAAAATTAAAATAATAGTAATAATAAGAAAATTAATCACTGTACCATTCTTAAAAGACTTGTAGATAGCCAAGAACAGGGAGTTCACAAAGCACCTTGGGAAGGATGTGTGTGTGTGTGTGTGTGCATCTGTGTTTTCTAGTCTGATTTGATAAGGAGCTGTTTCTTTTAAAGGCAAAAACGATTGCAAAACTTAGTGCTTACGATGTGTAAGAAATCCATTGGTGTTGCTGTGTAAAGATCCCAGTGAAGCTTACCTAGTATAACTCTTGCCATTCTCAAGATCTCAGCTGGAGGGTGTTTACAGCCACTCTGCACTGCCAGCACCTCCACCCATGGTATTACCTGTACAAAAAAAGTTAAAACCAATAAAAATAAAGCCTCCACCGTCCTACCCAGCGCTGTGTGTGCTTCTCTGTGCTGCAGAGGGATCTGACAGGCTTATGCACGTGCCAAGGTGATGAGCAGAATGGTGGTTCAGGAGACACTGTCCTGGATAACCCTAGAGCCTGGTCCCTGCTCTGCTGGGCACCTCCCGGGTCACCCGGGGTCTCCTTCCTGCTGCATCTCTGGGGCATAGTCCCTGCTGCCACCCTTATTATCTTTGTTGCCCTGAGAAGGGCACCTGTGAGCCTGGCTCACAGGGCCTCTGGGGTTGCCTCTTCCTGTGGCCAACCACTCAGCTTCTCCTTTTGGGCTGAGGGGAAAAGAAGAACCTCAGTGTGACACGTCCTAGGAAGGCTACAAAGAGCATGTTGCTGCAGCAGAAGCTGCTGAAGAGACATGCATGTCTGACTCCCTCCTCCTAGGTTATCAGAACAGAATGAAGGAAGAGGAGGAAGACACTCTGAAATGCTTTTGGCTGATGCTTGTCAGTGTCTGAAGAAGTCTATCAGGGCACTTCTCCCATGAGAGATCATCTGTCATCTCACACAGGTAGCTGCTGATTTTACATGACTCACCTGAGTCACTTCCTCACCAGGTTCAGAAACCAGTTTTGACTCCAAGCAAGTTCATCTATTTTAAGCTTCCTCTGAAGAGCCTCTGCTGGGTCTCACCTACCCCACCCTCCCAGGACCCACTGGAGCAGAATTCCAGCTCTGATGCTGTGCACAAGCACTGTGACTGTCCCCCCAGACTAAGCTTTACTGTGAGCTGTGGATTCTGGAGGGGGGAGAGAGGCTGAAGGGCAGGAGGAGGAGAAACCCATCCAACATGAGTCCTTCATCCATAAAGGCCACGATTCCTCCAAACAATGATGAAAAAGACTGAAAATGTTACTGTCACTACTCAAGGTGGACAAGTTTACACTTCCTGATTACACCCAAGTTGTTGAAAGACCTGGAAATTCATACAACTTGAGCACAAGAGGTGAATTTAGTGTGTTTAAAATTAAACATACAGGCCTCATCTTCTTCATTGGTTTTTGCTGGAAGGACAAGGCAGGAAATTTTTATGCCCTGGAGATATTTTAATTGGGCCTGAAGGGAGAGGAAGAAAACACTGAATCAGGAAGATAAAGAGTCACGGGGGAAATAATTGTCATTCCATGACAGATGGTCAAGTTTCAAACTTCTCATGGAAGTTACAGTTGCTTGTGAATTAGTTTAGCTGCAGAGAGATTCCTCTGAAGCTGGAAACAGCAAGGAGATCCAAAGTGAAGCAAAACAAATACTCCTCCTGGTGCAGTTTTTATTCATGTATCCCACAATTTTTAGACTATGCAAAGCCACAGAATTTACAATGCAAATTATTCCTCTTCTCAGCTGAGATATTAATTAGAATGCTTTGGCAAACCCCAGTCTCAATCTGAATAGAACTGAGAGCTGCAAGGCTCAGTTCAACTCATAACTCTGCTGTTGCTTCCACAGCAGAAAAAACTGGGCCCACAGTTTGGTTAAAAATAGTGGTTTCAAAACAAAAATATTGAAAGCAACAATGCAAATGTTTTCTGTTTAGCAGAGACAACCAGATTACAATGAGTTCTTTGTACTTATCACAGCATTTGGACTGCAAGTCACACAAACACTTCTACAGAGGACTGTAAATCAGTGGAACCTTGTCAAACACTCCAGTTTATACATCTGTGCTTCTATATCTATGTTTATATATCTATGCTTAAAAGCTTTCTGCTTAAGACCCTGACTGCTCCCTGAATCTGCTGCCAAACATAGCACCTGCTTTGGGCATAACCTGATTACATGCTCCTTTCAGCCCCAATCAGTCATCTAGCCAGGAAAAAGCTGACAGAGATTCTGTCTTTACTGATGCCAATACCCTGTTACGGATGCTGTGGTAGCAAAGGCAAAGGTTTCAGGGTGCAGCTGGAACCCAGAGCTTATTTCTACAACCCAGAGAACTGCTTTATTGTAACAAGACAGAGAGATACCTGTGCCCTGAGGGGAGAAAAGATAGAAGAAAAATACGGTTGGTGCCGTAATTATTTTGTTAAGGTATCTCCAAAGGAAAACTCCAATCGTTCTAAGTGCTCTAATTAACATTTCAGGTATCTGGAGGCTTGAAATGAAGAAGGTTGCTGGCTGTGTCTGCCAGCTGGGGGTAAGGGCAAATTTGGGAGGAGTTTAAAGCACCCATCTGTGCTGCCCACCCAGTCAGGCTCTGGCTGTGCTCACAAGGGCCTGGTGCTGGAATTTACTGGAGCTGGGAATGGGGCAGCACCCAGTCCTCCCCTCACAGAGCTGAACGGAGCTCTTACCAACAAGGTGCTGAGTGTGCTCATTATTTATCCTTCTGGAGAAGACTGAGGCTTCTGCTCAGCCCGTGCCTCACCCATCCTCCACGGGCAGAGAGAACCTGGAGTCAGGAGCAGGTTTTGCTTTGCTCTGCAAGATTATTTTTTTTTCTCAACAGCTCTTCAATTGGCTCAGCCTTGGGACCACAGAAGCCAGTTTTATGACTCCCCCAAGGCAACAGGTACTCAGTTTTGTCTTTCTTACATCTTATTTGAAGGTGCACCCAGGAGAGAGGAAGAGCTTTACCCTGCTGCCATTGCAATGGCACACGAGACCCAGGGCATGTATTTGAATGCTGATGTAGGAGATCTAAACGGGCTGAGCAGCTACAGACACTTTGTTTACCACTATTTTGTTTAATACTATTCACCACATTATCAGTTTCACTGTTTTGCTTTATTTGGTAGTAAAAACTCTTGGTAAAAAAGCAGCATTTCCATACTTGCAAAAACAGAGACAAGACTGCCAGGGCACTTGTGTGCAGACTTCCCTGGCTCTGACAGGCTGACAGAAGCAGCTGAGTGTAGCTGTTCCCATTGTACACAGAGGCCATCAAGTGTTGTAGCTTCCTAAGGCAGCAGATGACTTGCTTTAGCAGCCAGGAATGGGGCTGGGTTTCTGTCAGGCCTTAGTGAATTCACTTTTCTCCCATCTGAATAGATGGGACTCAAAGGTGGTGTTGAGCAAAAATAAAGTGAGGTGTTTATGGGATAATTCCTTCAGGGTGAGATTCTGGAAAACTGGCACTTTCCAAATCCAAGTCTCTCTGGCTAAGGCATTTTCCAGAAATGAGGCAAGTTTTGAGCTTTGTGGAGGTCCAGGACAATTCATGGCAAGTCTTTGAGCCAGTTTCCCTGATGGGAGCTGCTGTCAAAACCAAGAAAAGAATGACAAAGCAACAAGCACCCCAGCTCCTTGTGCCGGGCAGAATTTCCTCTCCTGGTGCCTTTCCTGTGCTGAGAAGGAAGGAGCAGCCACATGACTTGTCTGTTTGCAGACAGAGCAATCCTGTCACCCACTTTCCCCGAGGGGGGAAGCTCATGATGCAAGAAAACATGTCAGATGGCTGGACAACAGTGCAGTGGAGCTGCTCTTCTCCCGGGCTGTGTGATCTCTACCTTGTCTCACACTTCCAGCTCTCTCCATGTGCGCAGCTATTCAGTTGCAAAACCCTTATCACCCGATTCCAAGTTTCCGGCAAATCCAGGTCTATTGTTCCCAAACAAAAAGCTCGAAGATGACTGTTCTTAGGAGGTTTGTTAATTCCCAGTTAAGAGTTCTCCTCCAAGCAGCCTCATCTTTCTGGGCTGCTGCTGAAGGATTGCACAACAGCAGGACAGGAACCACCACTCTCCGGCCTCAGCAGGTATTTACATGAGATGAACATCTCTGAACGACACCATGTAAGAACCAAGCAGTGAGAACTCAGTGAAACTGAGTATTTCAGTGCTTACATTTGGGTGTCTCTTCAACAGCAGGGGAAAAAAAAGTATCAGATATAAAATTCCTGGTTTTCTTTGCGAAGAAGGGGGGGCTGCAGGCTCCCCCACGTTTTCTGGAAGCTCACACCATTATCTCTACAGCTCAATTAAAAGCCCTGAAGTGACATGAATCCTCTGGAAACTGCTCTGCACCCCTAAAGCTGACACCCTGCCTTGGGCTTTCACTATGTCAGAGCATCCCAACCCGGCTGCCTGGAGAGGGCTGGAAAAGACCCACCTGCCCAGTTTGATGCACTGAGAAGTTTCATCCTTCTAGGGGGTAAAAAAAGGGAAAAAAAAATGCTCTGTGTAAAAAAATTTTCCCAATGTCCAGTCTAAACCTCCCCTGTTGCAGCCTGAAGCCATTCCCTCTGGTTCTGTTGCTAATTACCTGTGAGAAGAGACCAGCACCAGCCTCTCTACAGTGACCTTTCAGGCGGTTGTACAGACTGATGAGGTCTCCCCTCAAGGTGAAGTTCTGCTGCGGTGAAAAACGTGGTGACGTCCAGCACAGCCCCCAGATCCACCCCTACCCCTCTCCTGGTGTCAGGTATTGCCTCCACAAACGGACTGCCCCTTCTCCTTGGCACGGCCCTGGCCAAAACACCCTTTTGCTGCATCCCTACCGTTCCCAACACCAGCAGTTTTCCTTCCAGACGCTGGAAAGGAGCCTTTTCTTTATGTTCCAAGGAGCACACGAGCCCTGTCCCCTCCCGGGGCGGGGCTGCTCTGCCAGCACCCACGTTTCACCCCGCGTTTGCCTCCAGCCCTTGCCCCCTCCAGCTCTTCTCCTCAGCTCCCTCCTTGGCTCTGCCTTCCCTTTGTTATTCTCACCCAACATTTTCCGCGGGCAGCTGGTTCCAATACTTGATGCCAAAGCTCTCCTTGCTCCCCAGCTTTGCCTGCCCACGCACAGGCCTCCCTCCTTCCTCACCAGCCCTTCGGGTGACACATTTTCGGGTGCCAAGTGACTCCATCACCCCACCAATCCCTGCACGCAGTAACGCTGGGGCAACGGATCAACAGCCCAGTGTTTGCTGGACACCCTGTCCGGGAGCGCCCTGACTCACCGGGTCCTGCTCTGCTCCCTGCCATCCCTGGGCCTGCTCCCGGCCCTGCAACACACCGGGGACAGACCAGGGACGCCTCTGGAAGCCCCATTCCTGTCCGCGTTCCTGCTGCTGCCTGCGGCCCTCTGGGAAGAACACAGAGCAACCGTGTGGGGGTGCTGGGGTGCCTGGCGCTCACTGCCGGGCACCCGGGATACCTGAGGGGCAGCGGCAAAGGCCTGGCAGGCCCGGCAGGCCCGGCCCGAGCCCCGCGCCGTTCCCATGGCAACGCCCCGCCC